CCCAAATATGACAACAGTATTCTATACAAGAGATTTTTAGAAGTAGAAAATGGAATCAGGAGAGAAAAAATGGTGACAACAATAAAGAAAAGCAACCTTAGTCGATGCTAATTTAGCAATCAATTGTATATATGGTTTCCATGAAAGGTCAGTAGTAAACGATAATTCAAAAAGACATAAAAGGGCTCAGTGAAAGGGTAGATATTCATTAATATTAGAATGTCAACAGTATTGTGATAGTTGTTTGCATTAAGTAACTCAGTTTTGTTGGAGTTAAAATTTACAATCCACTGCAGATTGGGGCAATCTGTTGCAAATGTTAGATCAGATTCAAGATGCCCATTCTAAGCAATTAAAAAGAGCAGGTTTTTTTGTCAAGACACAAGTATAAAGTTGAGTCATCAGCAAATTAAGTTTTTTTTTTTTTTTTATCTTTTCAAGTTTGTATGGAAGATCATTAGTATAGATTAGAAACAAAACAGTACCTTGGAACCTTCAGGTAATCCAGAATTTACTTGAAATGAAGAAAAGTGTTCGAAGATGAAGATGACTTTGACCTTCGAAGATGACTTTGATTACAAACAAAAGCAAAAGAAATGATCATCATAAGAATGATCATCATCTCAAAAACTTTTCCCGATACACCATATGAAATAAGCTCAAGGAGAAGACCAGCATGCTAAACTTTGTTGAAAGATAGTCAACAGTTAGCAAGTCAGTTATAGAGCAAGAGGATTGGAAACCATATTGATTTTGGTACCATACTATCTGACATTAAGTTATTTAAATCAAGATGGAATGTGAGAAATTTTTTGAACCAAAGACTCAAAGATCTTGCTAATAACAGAAAGAAGACTGATCGAATGATAACACTTATTAAATACTTTAGAGAGAACTGAAAAGAGTTCTGGAGACTATGATAGGAATGTTGTCTGGACTACAAGCCGTAGAAGAGTTTAATTAAGATATGACTTCAGCAGCTGAAGCTGGAGTGGTTTAAATGTCTAACATTGGGTTAACCTGTTTAATTAGAATGGAAGAGAATTCCCATAAGATTCAAGAGTCGAATTAGAAGCAAAGTTCATTGCAAATAGTTCTGTAAAACTATTTGCAATATCTTATTACCTCTCCCACCTTGGGAGAGGTAATAAGATTACTCCAATGAATGAGATATGGAATGTTAAACCTTCCCTTGGTAATGAAACTGTTGAAAATTTTCCAAAGGTCTCTAGAGCCTAACTTTTGAGATAAGATACAAGACTTAGTGAACCAAGAATAATGGAGCTTAGCATCAGACAACATTTTTTTACATCAATTACTTGCAATAATAAATATCCCTTTGTTCTCTAGAGAGTTGTTATTTTAAAAAAGATGAAAAAAAATCATTACGATTAGATATATCAGCTGCACAAGAGGGTGAAAACCATGGAATAGATTGAGGCTTGACTTGAAGCTGACAAGAAGAAATAGAAGCTTCCATTCCTACCTGAATCTAGGAGGTATGGTAGGAGGCACATTTATTAGTTGAGATAGAAAAGATATCAGCCCAAGGACTGTCAGGAAGAAAATCATGAAAAGAATCCAAGTCAGCTTTTGGGTAGTAATAAGTAATAAAGACAAATAAGTGAATTGATTTGTATGTATGTCCCAAGCCAAACATGTGACTATTGAACACTGAGATTATAAAGAGGAATAATAGAATTTAAATAGGTCTCACTAAAAGCCAGCAAGTCTGGTGAAAGATGTAAGATTCAACTGATGGAAGGTTACTTTGCAGATCCCAATCATTTGTAAAAGAAATATTAAAACAATTAGATGGTGGGATGGTTTTTATGTTTAATATTTTGAGTTGCATTTAGCATGATTTAAGTTTAAAGAGAATTTGACACGTTCATAGATAGAGCCCAGCCTCCTAAGTAATGAGCTATGCAATTGTCTTAGTCCTGTTAACTAACCCTATGTCCTAACATAGGGCTCCTAATGTGGCCTCAACAATGTGCACCAAAAGCAATAATAGCGGCACCATCCATATGCAACTTGCCAGTGTTAATACTCTGATTTTGCTAATATTGATGGAATCAGCCTCATTGAGAGCTGTCCCAGATTTCAGGAAACCTTACACCAGCCGGCCTCAGAACCATTAAACTGTGTTTTAGAGCTGTTCCCTCATTAGATGAAAAGAGGAGGAGTTGCATAGCTATTTTCATGGAGGCACAAGCAAAAACCTTTAAGTATAGTTAGGAAGATTTTGCATTCAACAGTTATTAAATGATTAACTGCATCACAACTTTGAATTGAATTTTCAAAGATCTATTATTTAATTATTTATTCGTATCTCATGCAAATTATTTATTCATATCTTGGATGAGGATGGAACTGAAACAGTTTTTAAAAATGAAACAACTCTGTAGATTTTGAATATTAAATAGAACTAGACTTCAGACCCCTAAAATACAGTTCTAGGTAAGTCTATTCTACATCAACTGTTTCTATACTTGTTTCTATATTCAATAAAGGAACAGAAAAATATTTAGCAAGCTGTAAAAAATTATATATTTTGTTAGCGTGGAAAATAACAGTAAATGATCGCCCAAAAAGACAAAAATTTGCTATTTTGGCTTCCCAATTTGAATTCTTGCCAGCGATGGTCAACTGATCGAAAAAAAAATCATATTTTCAAAAAACAAGATTTAAAAAACAATCCAGATGTAATTTGGAAAATTCATATAACACAATTTCATAAAATCAATTTCATAAAATTTTGAAAAAGCGTTTTTGTTTACGATAATCAACTTTAATAAATCTATTAATTTTTTTTGCTTAACTGAATTAGATTACTTTTATTTTACTGGTGAAAATTCTTTTTTCTTAAATGATTGAAGAATGAAATTTAAGTCCTCATTTTACTATTATTTTGAGAAAAATATTAAATATATTATTTAATATTTATATAATAATTTATAACAAATGTTGTATTTAACTAAGAATATTTTTTCTTTTAACTGTACTAAGTCACTTATGGTTTTTTGCACAAATTGAAAAAAATAAATAAGTTTTGTCAAATTAAATTAAATTTGTTTATAATTAAATTTAAAATTTGCATGTTGACGCTTATTTCTATAAAAGAATAAATTAAGTAAAAATTATTAATTCTTAAAAGAATATATTAAGTAAAAATCTTGATTTGTGTAACATTAAAAATGATGGATTGAGGTTTAGCGTCTTGGTGGGGCCATGGGAATGAGCAGAGGGTGACAAGGGCACTTATAATAAATACATTATATTGATGCTTTTATGTGCCTTTTATCATAACATTTAATTACGTCTAAGACACTAAAAAATTTAAAGTTTGAATTTACAATTTGAAGTTTGAAGTTTACTAATTTACAATTATCATTTTAAAAAAACAAACATTTAATATTTATGGTTTAGTTATAGGAAAATATATTTACACTATGCATATTACTGAAAGCGAGTATTAAAAAAAAAATTAACCTTCCTACTAGTTTAAGCAATTTTTTTTCAACAAGATTTCATTTCCAGTGCAAAACGTTAATGGACATCCAAAGAACATCATACGGACTTGTGACGTATATAAGGCGTTGTATAAACTTTGTCTTAAGGACATCTGTGCAGCTGGGTTAAAGCAAAACGGTTTATTGATATTCAAAGTCAATGCTCTCAGCAAGCTCACATTTGTTCAAAGTTAATGTCAATTCAAAAAAACAATGTTTTGTTGATCACAGATTATTATTGATTTTCTGAAACATCATAAAGTTTAATAAGATTTTAAAGTTTAAAAAAAGATTTAAAAAGCTGATTTTGTAGAGTATAGAAAAGTTAGAAAAATATGATGTCACTTATTTCTCAACTAAGAATGGATTTACGCTTTTCATTTTTTAGTTAAGTCATCATTGTTGAAGATATTGATGCATATACATTTTTGAAAGTAGAGCCGGTGCGAGTAGACTTCAAGTAGAGAGTGGGTGCCATACTGGTTTTCACCTAAAACATTTTTAACACATTAAAACAAATCTAAATTGCTCAACAATGTTTAAGTTATTTAAATTATAATTTTTTGTTTTTCTACTTTAAAAACAAAGTTGTTTACCGTTTGCAAAGTTATTGTAGTTTTGTGAACATTTATAACTATACGGTCACAGTAGTTTTAATACACCAAACTGTTAAAATTCTCCCCTTCCCTCTCACCCTATATTGAATCTGCGTCTGAACATTCTTAACTTTTAAAGTTTCATAAAACAATTGTCTTTTTAATATCAAGTATTTAGCATAAATAGCATCTGGGTATAAAGTTAATAACATTAATATAAACTAATTAGGATTATCAGTTTTGAAAATGATTTTAATGAGCAGATAAATATTAAATTAGAAATCATTTTCTTTTTAATGTTGTTAACTTTAATGATTGAAGTTTTTATTTTATTATTATTTGAAATTTTTGTATTCGATGTAAAGTTTACATGTTTAGCAAAATTGATTCCATTCTACAAATCTCTTATTTGTCCCTGTATGGAATACTGCTTTAATATCTTATAATGATACTATTTCTCTTTAGGACAAGATCTAAAAATTTATTTAGACTTGCTCTATCTGCAAAGCTGGTGCCACTCCGCCATTGTTATAAGGTTGCATCTCTTTCTCTTTTCTACTTTTGGTTGCTGCTCAAACAAACTTTTATCTTTAGTTTCATCAACTAAAATTCTCTTGAATCGTCATTCAGCAAAGTTGCATCTTTTCATTGAATCTGTGCCTTCATGCTCTAAAAACTTTTTTTCTATTTTTTTTTCTTTCACCTCTATGCTTTAAAACTAAAATGTTCAAGTCTTCTGTCAACCATTGCTCTTTAAAATTATTCTTTTTTTTCCACTTGATAGTAGTTGCTTGCAGCTTTTTTGTTAGTGTATTAGTTTTAAAAAATGATTAACAAAAATAAAAAATAATAAACCTGTTCATATCTGTAAATGTTATCATTTTTTTAGGTACTATACTCTATTTTGAAGGTGCAAATGAAGGTTTAAATGACATCATTTTCCTCAGTCCATCATGGGTATGCAAATTAATGGCAAAGTTTATTACAGTTGATTGCGTTCATGCTTTTATTAAAAATGGAATTTTAGAACGAAAATATATACCGGTATGTGTAAATTGTCTTACTTTATAATTTTGAAGTAAATTTTGTTTGTTTGTTTGTTTTTTCCAAATTACCTCATCCCATCTAATCCAATCAATCAAATCCCATCCAATCAAATCCAAGATTTTTGAAGCTTAGTAGTTAAGCTATAAAGTAGCAGTTGATAAATAAATGGAGAATAATAATTCTGAAGAGCTCTTCTTTTCAAGAAGTCTTTTTTTTTATGTTATTCACCTCCCCAAGATCGAGAAGGGTACTACAGACAAGGAGGCTACTTAATTGTGGTTACAACCCTCTCTCAACTCTATAACTCTGAAACAGGAGCCTTGACGCACAAGATTGCTGCGCATAGAAACAAGTTGAGCATGGTACTACCAGGAATGTGGTGAGGATTCAAATCTGAACCACTCGCTTATGAAGGAAACGTTCTACCACTACACCACCACTGCATATATGAACTCTAGCTTCTGGTCTTTTTTTCTGGTCTGGTCCTTTGGTCTTTTCTCACATTGTTAAGTGGCTTTAGGTTGTCAGAGGTTTGCTTGCATTTCCCAAATTTTTTGACATAATAAAATTACTTCTAGTATTAATTAGCAATCAGCTGTAAAAAACATGTCTATATATCTATGTCTATATATACATCTATATGACTATATATCTATATATCATATATATCATATATATCATATATATCATATATATATATCATATATATATCATATATATATATGTATATATATATATATATATATATATGTATATATATATGTATGTATATATATATATGTATGTATATATATCTATATATATATATATATATATATATATATATATATATATATATATATATATATATATATATATATATATATATATATATGTATATATATATATATGTATATGTATGTATATGTATATATATATGTATATGTATGTATATATATATGTATGTATATATATATATATATATATATATATATATATATATATATATATATATATATATATATATATATATATATATATACAGAAAACAGATCATTTTAGGTCTATGATCATTATCTACTATATATTCTTTTTAACTGATCACAGCATTAAATTACTTAAATGTGGTAGTGGTGTAGTGATAGAGTGCTCGCCTCATAAGCGAGAAATCGCATGTTTAATCCCCACCAAGTCTCTAGTAGTACTGCACTCAACTTGTTTTTTGGCGTAACAACCTTGTTTGTTGAGGTTTGTGTTTCAGAGTTATAGAGTTGAGAGGGAGTTGTAACCTCAACTAAATTAGTCTCCTAGACTGTAGTGGCCTTCTTGGTTTTGGGGAGGTAAATTATCATTTTAAAAAATTAGATAGTTTATTTTTGTTTCAAAATGTTTTTAAAAGAACTCTAATTAAATTTTTTTCTATTTGGTACAGTTAGTAACATAAATTAAATTAGTAACGTACTAAATAGTTCCAAATAAATGTTAAATAAATTCTTAAAGACTATAAACATTGTTTTGTTTAAAAAACAACATAAAAAAAAGGAAGGAAAAAAAAAAAAGTTTTTATTATTGAAGAGCAGCCGTGGCGCAGTGGTTAGAGTTCTGGCTCAGAACCAAGAGGTTCTAGGATTAACGCTAGCTTTAGCCCTACAAGCGACATTGGTACGGAAGGAGGCGTGAACTTCTTGTTAAATGCTCTCCTGCGATGATCTATGATAAGATCGTAAGGACTTCTGGGAGCATCTAAAATAACTACAAAAAAAAAATAATAATAAATTTAAAAATATCTAAAAGTTCATTCTCTAGAATACCTCTAAATATTTGCATGCTATATGTTGTATTTAATAAAGTTGACCAAAATTTTATTATATTTAATAAAATTAAATAAAAACTTAGCAAGTGATGTTATATTTATAACAATGATGTAATAATAGTTAACAGATGATGTTAAAAATGGTGTTAAAGTTAACATTTTGTACTGTGTCATTATTGTCATTATTGAACATATAAGTTTACAAAAAAATGATTATGTTTGTTAAAAATGTAAAAAGTTATATGATTTTTTAATAGTATTTTATGATATTCTTTATTTAAAAACACATTATAAAAGTAATTGTTTTATCTGTTGCTTTAAGTTGCTAGCCTCTCTCCCATTGTCATAAAGTTGCATCTCTTTCTCTTTTCTACAAATACAATTATGATTGGTGCTCAAAGGAGCTATCATATCTACTTACACCAACCTAAACTCATTCTTTTTTTTTCTTTTACATTCTTTTACAAAACTCATTCTGTCACTGCATGCTCTAAAAACTTTTGTCTAGTTTTTTCTTCCACATTTGGGTTCTTTGGAACTCTCTCCCATGCCTTTAAACTGTTTAAACATTTCAACTACAACTTTTCAAGTTTTCATTAAAGCGCAACTTAACCAATAATGATTACAAAACAATGCACGATGAAGCCTTAGAAAAGAATACAGCAAAATATATATTTCCTATATATCAGTATGGAGAAGCAAAGGAATACTGCATATAAAAAATCTGTTTACAAGCAGAAAACTAAAGATTGTTCTTGTGAAGATGTATCTGTTGAGAAAAATCTACTACTGACTTGCTTGGTATCACATCAACTGCCTTTAGTTGCTACAGTTGAGGTTCTATAGATTAATGAGAACCCTTCATCAACTTTGCTACATTCTTCATCTCTAAAATTTAGATACGTTGAGATAACAAAAAGTTTATTTTCAGGAGCTAAAACATACCAAAAGACAGGAACTTCAGCCCACTCAAGTTGTGAATATGACTCAGTTTTATTTGTACTATTCTTTTAGATGCTTAAAAATTTAAAGTGCTTTTATTTTTATTGTTTCTATTATAATAAATAATAACTTCACACATATTTGATAAAGAAAGTTGGTGTTAGAGGCAAAGATTATCTTGTAATTACAAAGTTTGTGAACAAATAATAAAGTTATCTATACATTCACAAGTATTAAAATATATTATTTATGAAGAATTGGCTAAATCACAGAACTGTTTTCCAAGTAAAGAAAATCTTTTACTAAACTGATAAAATAGAAAAAATATATAAGTATATTTTATAAACTTATTACCTTACATTTTGGCTTTTTAAGGTATTTTTAGTCCCAAGCTTCAATCACCACAATTACAAAACACAAAATTTTTAGTTCCAAGCTTTAATCATCACAATTACAAATACAAAACATTCTTATTTGAAATGAACATAAACAAATTTTAAATGGAAATATTTACAATGCTTGAAAGTATCATTACTAAAACATCAAAAAATCTGGTTTCCATCACTGGTTCTAATTCTCCCATTTATTAGAATTCCTGCTTAATTGACAGGTAGGAGTAGTAGAGATTAGTTTTAATCAAAAATAATTTAAATAAGGAACAGCCTACTAAGATAATAATAAAAAGCAAAGTAAAAATGAAAATATAATTATAATAAAATTTATTTACAATTTATTGAATAAATTTACGAAAAAGCAATAGACTTCAATAGTCACATGCTTGGCTTGAGGGTATGCATACACTTCAATTCACCTATTTATTGTGAAATCAGGTTTTATTTAACTTAAAGTTAGCTTTTATGTGATTTTGTTTAGTATTTCTTCACTCTATAACCTTACTCCTTGTCCTTTATTGTTCCACTTCTGTGGCTGAAAAGTTTTATTAGGTGGAGACAAAGAGGCTTAGGTCATATGCTTAACATATCTAAGGCTTTCTACAAAGTTTGGCTGGTCTTCTCCCTAAGCTTTGCTGATCTTCTCCATAAGCTTGTTTTATATGGTGTATTTAAAAACGTTTTTGAGATTATCTAATTGTTTCTTTCTAACTTTTCTCTATTAAAGTCCTTCTTTAAATGTTAACACTCTTTTTCATTTCCAGTAACTTCTGGGTAACCTCAAGGGGCTGTCCTTGATCCTTTTTTATCTACATTAATGATCTTCCTGACAACCTTACATCTAAAGTAACTCTTTTTGCTAATGACTCAACTTTATACTTCTGTCTTGACAAAAAGTCTTCTCTTTTCAATTGCATAAAACAGGTAGTTGACCTTGAATCTGATCTTGCTTTTGTAACAGAATGAGGCTCACAGTAGCTTGTAAATTTTAACTTCAACAAAACTTCAAACATTGCAAACTATCGCAATACTGTCAACGTTTCTATATTTATAAATGAAAACCCTCTGAATGAGTTCTCTTCTTTATGTCTTCTTAGATTATCATTTATTGCCAACCTTTCATAGAAACTGTATACACAATCAATTGCTATATTAGTATCTGCTAAGGTTGCTTCTCTTTACCTCTACAAATATCTTATTTGTCCCTGTATGGAATACTGTTATCATATCTGGGCTGGTTCTTCTAATGATGTTCTTTCTCTTCTAGACAAGGTCCAAAAACGCATCGTTAATATAGACCTGCTCTATCTGCTAAGCTTGAATTTCCCTTTACATTAATGTTGCATCTCTTTCTCTTTTCCACAAATACTATCATGGTTGCTGCTCAAAGGAGCTATATATATATATATATATATATATATATATATATATATATATATATATATATATATATATATATATATATCTTTACTTCCATCAGCTAAAACTCATTCTCATTTGATTCGTCATTCAGCAAAGTCTTATTTATTTACTGTATCTCTCCCTGCATGCTCTAAAAACTTTTATTAGTTTAGTTTTTTTACCTGCACTTCCTTTTGGAACTCTTTCCCATCCTCATGTTTTCCTGACTCATGCAACCTTCAATTTTTTAAGTCTTCCATCAATCGTTTCCTGGTTTTTTAACTCTTTTTTTTTTCTTCTAATTACTCCGAACTTAATAGCGGTTGCTCACAGCCTTGTTGAAAGCGAATTGAAATAAATAAAAAAAAACCAAAAGAAAAAAATAGATAATGAACAAAAATATATATTTTTAACATTGATCACAGCAACAGATTATGCATTCTTCACTTTTCTAAATTTTGAAAATGAAG